TTTTAACTGCTTCAGTTGATAAGAGCCCAAATTCCTGTGATGTAAGCACAAGGAATCTCCTTTGGATGAAACCAGTTTCAGCAAGCTGCATATCTCAAATGACATTTGCCTACCTTCATTTAGAGATCTCACCAGTATGACTTTTAAACGTGAAACATGCAAGATTTAGAAGAGGAATTTAGAAATGTTTGACTGCAAGGTTTAGGATAGAAAAAAAGACCATGTCTTATGACAGCTGCATATAGCAGCAGGCCTTCCATTTCCCTGTTGAATTGTCCTTTCAGTGCACTGAAGAGGATACTGAACTTGCCGGTGTAAAGTCTTCTTATTTCTATAACAAACTACGTTTTACAAATAGCAGCATCATTTGATACAAGCCATAGAACCTAGCCTGCAGCTTCAGTCAAATGTGAGCTGGGGGACAGACAAAGGCAGGACCACAGCAAGGCAACAAGAGAGTTATAAGCACGTGATTAAAAAAAAAAGCTTAATGACACCTGAAAGCTAGCTCATCTCTCCAAGACACTGACTCAGGAACACAATGCCCATTTGGGACAGAATTTCAACATGAAGTCAGTGGCACATATGCAAATGTTTAAAAGTTAAACGTGATTAAATGCTTTCTTGAACAGAGTCCAAAACTACAAGCAAAATCTTCAGAAGTGTCTGGTAACTTTCAGTGGGTGTAAGCTTGAACAACTTCTAAAATGAGACTCTGGTTCCTAAATTATGTAGATATTTTTGAAATTTTAAACAAGTTCATTAAAACGTGTTAACACAGGAATTTCCATTAAAAAGTCAATTACTGATTTTTACAATCCCCACTTCAGCTTCTTTTTTGGAAAAAATCACTAGCTGAAAAATGAATACCGAGTAATGCCACCCAGGTAATTCAGATGTCATTATTATTTCCTATTATAAACACTGGGAAAAGAGTATGTAATCTTAGAAAACTGTTGTGGTAACTGGTAAATGCTTAATCTTATGTGGTGACTACTGGGTAAAATGAGTGTTCATGATTTTTTTTTTTGTTAACAACTAAAAGCCCAACTTTGACTGCACACACTGGCACATCCTGCTGTACATCTTTACCCAGTTCTGAAATCAAAAGCATAGATTACCAAGTATGACCTGATCTTGACCTCAGATAGCCCCGTACGTATTGATGTGAACTGAATCAGTAAAATCTCTACTAGGCAGATTCAACAAGGAACAAAGCAATACCTGCCAATCTAACTGAGATTATATCTGAACCTTATAAATGATATACCAACCTCTTTTGGCTCCACAGAAGGCTCTATTTCAATACATTCTAGAATTACTGTGTGATTGTATTTTCTGTTTTTCTCTTCTGCCATAACATTAGGATAAGTTGACATTCAAAAGGAAAAAAACAGAGTCAATTAAATATACTTCTTTATGCAGTATACAGTCAATTTGCAGAATTCACTGCTGCAGCAGGTCATCAAGACAGATGCTATGTCAAGATAGACAAAAGCATTAGCTAATTTTGTGATTATCGTTAATGTTTAGTTACCATAGTGGCCAAGATGATTATATGCATTATCTGACCTCATGCTCCTAGGTATAAACTGATAGTTTGCCAGGGCCAGAAAGAATTTCCTCTCCCATAATCAACATTGCACAAGTAAGGCCTGACCCTGAACTGATTCACAAACTAGCACCTACCAAGTAATCCTACTCAAGACAACTCAGTGAAAAATTTAATTGCATACATATTGTGGAATTACTTTTCAGTCTTCCATCAGACGGTCTCCAGGCTAGATAAACTGATTTGACAATTTCTATGTTATATTTACAGAATGTATACGGCTGTAACCAGGTCTTTACTTAAATTTGAACATGTATTCAAAACTGTTTGACAGTAGGTGTTTGGCACCTAATTTTTCTTCAAACCTTTGAAAAATCTCCCCCCATATCAGGAACAAGGCAATATATTTCTGCAAACAAACACAAATGATACATAAACCAAATCCCACTGTAAATTATGCAGGGATTAATTCAGATTTACGCTCATGTAGCAAAGAAAAGCATTTGGGCCATAGTCTGCCAGAGACAAGCCAAACTTAAACAGCAGTTGTTATGCAGTGGAATAAAAAAATATCAGAAGCAAATAGAAGTAAAGTAATAAAGATTAAACAGGCCTTTGTACTATCCATGTAAGACCGACATAAACTAAAGCCACTGGACATTTAAAATAATAAACCTCTAAAAATCTCAGTAACTTTTATTTTTATGTCACCTATTACTTTCTCCTTTTTGGAATACTGTGGACAGCACTAGAAATATCTAGAAAGAACAGATAGTGAAGAACAGTACAAGACCCAGAAAATGGTAACAGGGAAAATAAGTACGTAGTCTTAGTAATTAAAACGTTACAGGGTAGTTTATCTTAAATTAGAATGAAAGAATCTACTAAAAGTGTATTGAGATGTATAGCAAAGGCAGCTGCTACAAAACCACTGGAAGAGCTTACATCAGAAAAGCAAGAGGATACCACCCCCTGCCCACAATGCTGAAAGAACTGTTTGTAGTAGCCAACAACAAACAGCATCATTTAGAGCAGTGCGAGAAGCTAGTGTCTGCAAAAACACAAGGGTCTTACCTTTGCCGTCTAGAACTTCTCTGCCTTTCTGGAGTTTTTTTTTTCAAATAATTGGAGGACAGCTCCTCTTCATCTGACTTCCAGCAAATGCACTTCCCCTCCCCCCAATCTCTAATTGGTTGTAATTTGTAAGAGTTGCTTTGAAATGTCACAGGTTTCAGACACGATCTTGAAATTTCAGGACGTGCGAAATTCCTAAGGCTGAAGTTTGGAACTGAAATCACAAGAGATGATGATAATGGTAGTGTATGTCTCCTTATTTTGCCTCTATAACTTTAGGTTCCTTCTCTCTCTCCTCATTTGCCACTTTCTTCTTCTTCTTTTCTTGCCTTTATTTCCTTCTTTTCCCCTCTTCTATTTTTGCTTTCAAACCGTCATTAATTTTTCATGATGGTTACTTTTATTCCTGTCTTCTTCCTCTTCCTAGGCTCCACAAAGAGCTTACAGAGAAAAGCTGTCCAATATTATTTAGTTACTATCTACACCTTACCTTTTATTCATGGGTCTGTCTACACAGAGAAAGTGACACACACTTCTTTAATTTCCTTTTGTATATATCAGAGGACCTGGATTGAACCCAAACTCTTTGCATAGACAGATCACTTTCATTCTCTCCCTTTTCAGCACCAAGTAAAACTTGGAAAGATCTCCTTAATTTTATTTTGCTTTTAACTTATCTTCCTGAGAGGAGGAACAGGACAATGTTTCATCCAAGTGTAGGGCACATCATCTAAAAAAAAAAAAGTGCACGTGTCTTAGAAACATGCTACATGCCCCAGTTGAACAGAATAAATATGGTGTGTCATGCATTTATTTCAACTTTCCCCTCCTTGTGCAGGTTGCAAATTACTATTTACTGTAACTCAGCAACTTCCATTCTGTGAGACCTCCCAGTGTATCTCTTACATTGCGGACTACAAGCTTATCGTTGGACTACACTAGATAATCAAAACTATCCATACCATTTTTGTTTTTTTAAAACAATGCTGAGTTGTTTCCAAATTTTTATTTTATTGCAAAAGAGATATGCACCAAATACACTTGGCAACAGTATGCCCGGAGGTTTCCAATAGCTTTCAGGCCAGTGCACACACAGGTGTCATTTAGAGCAAAAGCAGGTGACCACAGAGGGAGGGGAAAAGTTCACCACACCTTAGACTCACAAACATGCTGGGTGCTTCCCACCTACCCTACTTCCGAGGGACATTCAGCACAATTCCCAAACCTTATTTCTGAATATCTGTATTTGCATGTCACCTTCAACATCGTCCTGCAACAACGTGCCTTTGACACGGCTGCAGATGCATGCCAACCGCAATGAAAGGGAAGATCAAATGAAATTAAATTTCACTGAACCTAACAGCTCCATGTTTCCTTATTATTTTCCATTTTCTGTGTCAATAGCCCCTACTACACGTTATGTGCATTACACAACCAACTGGTTAATCGTGCAATACATTCAGGTTTGCACATGTGCGAAGTTGCGACCATGCGATTAAAAAAAGAGGCTCTCCAGCTACAAAGGTTGTGCTTGAAAGCGTGTCACGTCTCTGGCTGGTTTCTAGCCAGCTTTCATCCGAATGCTGAGCGGTGTCCTTGGGCTCCCTTTCTTGTCCTACCCCTCCGTTGTCTGTTGACCCTTCCCTCTTCCTCTCCTGGAGCAAGAAAATAAATATATAAATAAATAAATGCTTTGGGGTTTTCTTTTTTCCCCCCCCCCCCCCCCAGGGGGAAGACTGAAGGGTCCTCTCCCAGCCCACGTTCTCTCGTCACCAAGACTAAGACGACCGTTGTTTGCTCCTTGGCCAGCGGCGGCCTGCCTTTACCCACCGCCCTTGAAGCCGGCGGGGCAGGATTGCTCCTGCCTCGCTTTCCTTCGAGCCTCCCAACACGTTCAAACGGACAGTGACGGAAGACGAGGGTCGGAAGCGAGCTCATTTTGTCCAACCCTCCTTGCTCTGAGCAGGACCGGCCCCCACCTCCATCATCCCGGCCAAAGCTTGGTCTACCCAAGGCGTAAACGCGGCCCAGCTCCACCCCTTCGCAACCCCTGCTGCTCCGACCCCCTCAGCCCTCCCGTCTCCTCAGTGGTGACACGTTTCCAAGCACGAGCTTCCGAGCAAACCGGCTCTTTTTTTTTTTTTTTTTGTATAGCTGGAGAGAGATTTCTGCAGTGGGAT